AGGCCTTTCCAACACTCAGGCCAGACCCTGCACACTGCAGGGTGCAAGATGATACTAGGTCTTCTGGGGCTGCAGGGCAAATGGCAGGTCGGGTCCTGAAGAGGAATCCCCAACAAGACATAATGGATGGAGCTTCCCAGACCTTTCATGACTCGTGGTCCCCCACATTACACACACCTATTTATACCCAAACAAAACGCAACCACGCCCATAGGGCATTGCACCCCACACACACATGCTCAAACATCCAAACACTGATACACACACGCCACACCCTCCTATACAAAAGGTGGAAACCACAGCACACTCTGGCCCCTCCTGCACACTTCACCTACACACACACACACACACACACACACACACACACACACACACCACCGACGAAGAGCGACGTGACTCTCACCTTCCCCTCCCCTCCCCCAAACACGGTTCCACCTTCCCACTGCACATTCTCACAAACACTCCTCAGCGCACAATCTCACACCCACAGGTCCGCCTCACTGGAGCTGGGGAAGTTGCGATGCGCTAGGGGCAGTTTGGAGGAGATGAGAAAGAGGGGCGTCAGGAAGGAGGGGGAACGCAGTGCTCCGTGGTTAAGTGGCACCTTTGAGCTCCCAGGACTGAGCAGACCCAAGCCAATTTAGAATGACTGCGGAAAAAGGTGCGAGATGGACACGCGCGCGCGGAACAGGAGGGTTTCGGGTGCAGTGTGGTTGGTACTTAGCAACACCAGGTGACCGTACAGACTCCAACCCCCAAGCCTCGGAGAGGCTAATCAGGCGGCTTTGTAGAAAAGGGGACAAATAGGAGCTCTCCCAGCAGCCAGGAGCTTTGGGAGGGAAAAGGAAACAAAAGGAGGGAGGGGGCAGGCAGCTGATTTATGCTTGCACTTCAGCAAATGTTTTCCCTGCCATTAGCCTCGGGAAGACCAGGAGCCAGAGGAAGGGCACGCGTGGGGGGGTGGGGACCTGTGGCTTAAGGAGCTCAGCCTGGGCTTGTCTGCCCGCGGGCTGCAGCGGAGTTCCGATCCTCAGCCTCCAGATCCTACGATCCAGATTTGGCCTGTCAACTAACTCCCTGGGAACAGCCGGCAGTCGGTTTCAGAGTGCCAGTCTTCTCCCAAAAGGCTTGGGGGGCGGGGGAGGGGGGGCTCATTTGTTGCCCTAGTTCAACAAAATTGCCCAGGTCGAGGGGAAAATCCCCCAGGCTCCGTGCCATTACAGGCTCCAAAGGGGCAGGAGGTGGCGCTCCAGCCCAGACTTCAGGACCCAGCCAATCCGGAGGGGAGCAGGGTTCCCCGTGCCTTCGGACCCAGGCTTCCTCTCCCTGAATGGTTCTCATTATGGCACTTTAAATTCCCTTTAAAAGAGAGGGGAAAAAGCACAGCCCGCACTTGTTTGGGTTCATTCTGCCTTCACAGCTTTAATGACTCCATTTGTGGAAGCTGTTTAGGAAGCTGGTGGAGAGGCGTTGGATGCCAGTAGGAAGCGCCAGCTCAGGCCTGGCAGCAGCCTCACCCCTCCCTATCCCCTGGGGGCCATCTGCCTAGGCAGCAGTTTCTCTGGTGGGCTTATGGCCACCAACCTCCAGTCGCAGCCCGGTGGTACCCAGTCCCTTGCCCTTTCCTGCAGACCTCAGAGCTCTAATTTGTCTCCTTTCTACCCCAAGCCCTGCTGATTCCCCAGGTCTCTACTGTGGCCGGCCAGCCCCGGGGAAGACTGGGTTCTTGTTCACTCAGAATCGCCAATCCTGCTGTCCAAGCACCTGGGATGGGAGGGCTAAAGTGCACTCTGCTTGTCCCCCAAAGACCAGGGCAGTCCACAGCCACCCTAAACATCGGGGTGACTCAGGGAAAGCAGGTCGGGGGCCCAAAACCTCATCCTAGCCCCGATGGCCAGGAATGGCCTCATAGTACCTTTCACCTAAGGATTCCATGGCCAAGAGGCATAAGAAACAGGGTTCCCGGAAGTGTCCCCAACTCTACAAATGAATGCGGCCTTCTACAGGGCTGCCGTTTTACCCTGTAGACCAGGGAGCTCAACCATTGAAACATGCTTTGCTGAGACCACTACCTGCCATTGGTGTCATTTGTGAGCAGCTACCTGGCCTTGGGGTCCTCGTTCCTGACCCTTGTCCAGCTGTGTTCTCTTGAGCAGGGATTAGGCTGTCCAGTCAAACCTCTTCCCCGTTCCTGCTCCAGGTCCAACCTAACCCAGCTGTCAAAGTGACCCCACTTAGGTGAAGCCTCAGTTTCATTCCGCATCCTGACCCCCAGGGAAACTGTCCAGCCTAGCCTGCTTGAGGGTGGAGGGACAAGGAAGCCTGAAGCATTAGCTGAGGCAGGCCCTTCAAACCCTGATCCTGCTGAGCTCCACTGTTACCTTGGGCAACTCCAAGCTCCAGCAGTTAAAAAAAAACAGGGCAACTGTTAGGTCCCATGGAATTCCCCATTGTGTAGGGGGAGGGGGCGGACCAGAGCAGGGAGATTACAGGAGAATTTCCTCCCCTGCAGTGGTACATCCACTTTAATGAGAAAGTCCATTAAGACACTTGATTTTTCCATTTGTTTAAGCAAGATGGGTGCTTGCTGTGGTGCGGAGGGAGTAGGTTAAGGCACCAACTCACACAAGCAGCAGCAGCAGCAGAGCAGATGCTAGGAAAACTCCCATTTTAATTGCTTCTTTAAAAGACGATCAAGCGCTTGTTCACAACCGTCCCAGCCGGAGGCCTGGGAAGGGGTGGGGTGGGGCGGGGCGGGGTAGAAGGAGACTCCTAGGGCCAGCCAGTGAGTGCTTTTGAAGTGGCCTCTCCCAGCCAGTCACTTGCTGGCTGGCATCTTCCCAAGGGTCTGAGGTTCTAGGGGTCTGGTTTCGATTCTTCTATCATCAAACTTAATGCTTAAAAACAGGATTCTCTGCACTGTCAAGGAGTTGACTGTCATGCCCATAGGAGGGAAGTGGGGGGGGGGGTGCCTGCTACTTTGGAGCCATCCCTGTAATCTCTTTTGCCTCAGCAATAGACAACTATCTCATTGCAGCCAGGAGTTAGAGTGTGGCAGGACAGTCCCCTGTAGCTGAAGTTGGTCTCGCTAACATAAAGGCGCCCAGCATAGTAGTCCAAAATTAGTGTGGAGTGAACACAAGATGCAGGGAAAGTCTACGTTTTGGCCTTGCTTTTCCTCATCAGTGAAATGGGATCAGAAGGGAGACACTGGGAAAACCCAAAGAGCGTCCTGGTAGAAAGATGCCTCATGCCTGTGGCATTGGAGAAACTGGGCTGTGTGAGAAGAGGCGTGCTCTCCCTCCAGAAGGTAGGCTCCTAAGGGCAGCACGTTCTGGGCAAAGGAAGGCTGCAGGCGGACCCCAGCAGCTGGCCCTTCTCCAGGCTAGTGGGCAGGAGGCCCCCGCCTTGCTATGTAATGAGCACAATTCCAACACCGCTTCTGCTCACTGGTGAGAAATCAAAGCTGGGTATTAGAAGCCATTTCTGACTGGGCACCATTCGTGCTCAAATCCATCAAAGCCCTGGGCCTGGGGTTTCTTCCGGGGAAGCCGGGGGCTGCATGCTTTGTTAAGCAGAAAAAAGCAGGCCATCTCCAGCATTCCTGGCCCAGCCCACCTATCCAGAGAATTCCATGCCCACCAGTCCCATTTTTCTCCAGATGGAGGCCCAACCCCAGTAACCTTGGTATCTATTCCCGATCCCACTACCCTACTGATAAGTATATATGCAGCCTGGCCCAGGTACCAAAGACTTCACTCTACCCTTCAGTCACCCCAGACAGCCTTAAACAGAAACTAAACATCCAATCCAGCACCTCCCACATCTAACTGCACCCTTTAAAACAAGGCTGGCCATTTAGCTTGCCTCCCTCCTTCCCCATCATTACCTTCCAACTTCAAAACGGTGCTTTAAATACCCGAGTCTGCCCAAATCATAATTAACTTGGATCAAATGATTGAGTGTTGTAACTTTACAGCACTAGGCTTGGGGGGAAATAAGAAGGGGGGATGTGCCAGAAGCAAGCTTTGGCCGTGGGAATCATTAATTCCAGAGGTGGCGGATCCCCCCACCCAGCTTCGGGAGTCAAGGCACCCTGGTGGCAGTTCACCTGCTTGGGTACCACAGAAGCTAGCTCGAGTGTGTACTTTTTCATCCCAGGAAGACACAGCCCGCTTTGCAACGCCCAGCAGAGCTACTACAGGGCCAGCAAGACACTTCTACATTCGCGGCGGGAGAGGAGGGTTGGGGACTTTATAAACTTAGGAGTCCACCGAACCCTCTTAGAGCATCTTGCTGCGTCCAGGTGCGGTGCAGAGGCGAGCTCACCTGGTTCATCCCCGGAACAGTGACACCGCCAATAACCCACTTAAAAATGGGAAAGTCAGCAGGGACATTACGTCCCTCCACTCTCTCTATCAACGCTCACCCAGAAACAACCCCACTAACCACGAAACCCTTCCAAACACGCGGGCGCCGCACCTCAGGAGAGGAGGGTGTGCAGGTCTCGGCCCCTCCCCCTTCAATAGCTAAAGCCTTCGGGCATCCGCTCCCCAAAGGCGGTGGGTAACAAGCGCTTCCAGCGCTCAGCAGTCTCCTGCTCTCTCCCTCTGACCCGCAGAATGCTGCGCGTGCTGCCGGTGAGAGCCCGCAGGAGCCGGGACTCAGACTTTAGTTGCAGGCGAATGGCACAGAACACTCATTCGGCCCAGGTAGCTACAGTTTTTCTATGGTAATCGGGGGTCGCCTGGAAGGGCATCAGACTCCATGCCATGGCGAAGCAACTATCCCTTGGAGACAGAAGCAGGGAGCTTCGGGCTTACGTGGCACCCCAGGTAGCCACGCATCGCCCCTCTCCCGAGCACCGAAGCTGCCTTTTAACTTGGGCGCGCCCACCGCGCTCCCGGAGCGAAGCGACTCCCAAGAACCACCCGAACTTGCGTTGGACGCTGGGACCCGCCAGGTCCGCATCCCCGCGTCCCACACCCTCACGCTCCTACCTGCTAGGCTCAGTGTGGGGTCCCAACAGAAAAGCAGCGCCAGCAGCAGCGCGCCCCGAGTCCCGCTCCGGGCCCTCATGCTCCTGTCGCCTGGCCCGGGCGCCTCTCCCCCGGGGCTCTTTCCCGGGCCCCAGCCTCGCCGCCTGCGCCTTCGCCGCCGCCTCGCCGTCCTCGCAGGCGCCCGGCAACGCCAGCCAGTGCCCTCCGTGGGCGCAGCGGCAGCCACACTGCGCCGGGAAACCGCCCGGCTGCTAGGAGCGCTCCGGGAGTCGGACGCCGCTGGGGATCCCGGCGCCGGTGCGCCCTTTCCGCGATCCCCCGCTGCGAGCGCCGTCCGCGCCCTGCTCCGAAGTTGCGCGATCCCTGCAGAGTGCGCTCAGCGGCGCTCGTAGCGGCCGCGCCGTGAAGTCTGTGCGAGTGGGGTGCGCGCTCCTCTCGGAGCCCTGCCGCTTCCAGCGGCTCGGCGACCTTGCCCTCCCAGCCGCCGGCCACAATGCCCGGCGCCGCTGCGAGCTCGCCCTAGAGTCAGCGGGCCGGGGCGGGGCCACACGCGCTGTGGGGCGGGGCATGGAGGATGGGGGCGTGGCCATGGGGCCCTGCGAGGGGGTACCCCACCGCTGTGCAGGCGCGACCGAGCTGGGGCCCATCAGAGGGGACCCTCGAAGAACGTAGGTTCCAGAGCACCGAAAAACTAGTCCGCTGAGAAGCGGAGTCCACCAAATCTTCTTCCAACAATAAAGAAAATAAACTTTCATATCCTTCTTAGCTTGGGTATAAGTCAACTTTTGCTCTTGATTCTGCCTCAAAAGGGGGTAGAGGGAGGGGTCTAAGAAAACTCTCAAACACTCAAATCCTAGTGGAACCGGTAATGTAGATGGAGAGTTTCGGTTGCGGGGGCATGAGTATTTGGACATGAGTTAGGATCATGATTGATTCTATTTGTCTGCATGACCATGACAGGGCAGAACTGTTTATATGGGATCCGGAAGGATGGCTCACCCGAGGATGTGGTGAACCAGCGAGTGTAAAGGGGAGTGTCCGGAGGGACCTGCTGCCGCCTTTGGCTCAGTGTAAACTTGGTTCTGCTCCTTATGCCTGTGACCTTGAAGGAACTGCTTAGAAGGTTCCATCACTGTCATCCGTGAAATGGAGAAAAATGATGTTCACTGTCTCATAACAGAAGGAGGAACAGAATGTAGGAAATAAAAGTGGGGGTATCAATGGTGACCTCTGTTCCCGAAATTCTTCCGGGAAGTCCTGATCACTCAAAGGCGGCCAGATGAGGCTTGGAGGATGTCTGTGTATCGGCTCACATGAACTCGTGTATCATTTCAGTTAATTCCACAACTCTCTAGAGTACCATAGACACTCGTTTTATAGAGGAGAGAGCTGAGACACAGAGATGCAAAGCCATTTGTCCAAGATGACACAGCTCTGAGTGAGGAAACGAAGGGGGTAGGGGAGATGAGCTTGAAAAAGCCACATAACTGAGCATGGTGGCCCATGGGAGGCAGAAACAGGAGGATCTCTGTGAGTTTCCAGTCCATAGTGAGACCTTGTCTCAAATAAAGAGAGCTGGAGACAGAGACAGAGAAGGGGGTTGGGGGTGGACTGGCAGATACCAAGAGTCTCCCTTCTGCCACTTAGCCCAGATCAACTGACCACACAAACTTTTCCTCTTTGCATATCTGGAGCAGTCCTCAAATATGGAGGCAGCATGCTTCTTCGTGAAGACAGCAGCCGAGGTAGGTTCTGAAGTTGGTAGGAGGGTAGGAGGTGTGGGAGGTAGTGGTGGTAAGGACATCCAAAGAGCCAAGTATTCCCAAGTTGTTCCTAGATTGGAGAAACCGGGACTGGGAGGCACAGTTGCTGGCTGTTGACAGTGTGAGGGCAGAGAAGCAAGGAGACTCATTCTAGCTGTGTTGTGCCCACCCTCACCCCCACCCCGTCTCCCAGGGGCATCCCCTCTCTCCCAGTTCCACATACTGAAGACTGGAGCTCTATAGGAAGCCGTGGATGTAGGCAACAGCCCACATCATGGCTGGCCACCCAGGGCCAGGAGGGTGGATATGGGTGGAGTGAACTCCCAAGGCAGGACTTTGGTTTTTGTGGGCAAAGGTAAACGGGTTATTTTTAGCCTGGCCTGGAGCAGCATGAGCAAGGGTAGTGGCTGATCACACCCAGCCCTCTCCACCCATTGCAGACCACAAACACACAGCCCTACACACCCCTGGACAGTTAGACATACCTGCAAAAGAATATACAAGTCAGTGTACAACACAGACACACAGGTGCAAGATGACATTTCCTGAAACACCCTGTGTGTAAATAGACATCCACCTAGAAAAACACCCACAGACCAAAGCCCACGGGACTAAAAAAAAAACCAAACACACCTCCAGGCACACACATACACATCTGCCTGGAAAGACAAACAGGTATTTGGGTATTGAAAGATTGTCAGAATACATGGTGGATGCATGGGTACCAAGACTCAGACCTCATGCTCAGACCCTAGACACAGGCGTAAAGTCAAGGATGCTATGCCTGAGCGCTCAGCTCAGTAGACACTGTTGTAGGTCTTTCTCCCTCCATGGGATATTAGAGACTTTTCTTTAAAAGTTGCTAATTCTTCCTGAGCAGAGAGGGGGTGAGGAACAATAAGCATTTTCCTCCCTTCTTCTCAGCCCTGTTCCACCCTTCAGTCTGGAATCTCTCTCTGCTTTAAGAAAAGCAAAAGCAAAAATCACTGTATTCTAATTCACAAATAAAAGCATCACCCAGCTAGTGTAACCCTTGTCCTGTTGGTTCCAAGCTCTTTCATCCCTGGGAACATCTCTGTACTTAGAATGGCCATTCTGAGGCCATGAAGCCTCCTTAAGGTTCTGCACACTCACTGTCATTACATTTTTTTATTCACTTATCCACCAAAGAAAGAAAAAAAGAAAGGAAGGAAGGAAGGGAGGGAGGGAGGGAGGGAGAAAAAAAGAAAAAAACTATAACCAAGTTAAAACTTGATAAAAAGTAGATGTATATTCTCTTTCATGACTCCTGTGTACTTTTGGCTGCCTTCTGTCTCTCCTCATCATCCAATTTCTCCAATCTTAGCATCTGCTCACAGAGGTTTGTTTCTCTGGAATCAGCCCTTTCAGGGAATCTCTCTTAACTCCCCTGGGCCCCTTCCTGTGTTAAACCTCGGGAAGAAGCCTTTCCCAGTCACCTATGGTTGGGGAAACGCTCCCTCCCCTCCCCCAGGCAACTAGCCTAGGCAACCTCATCTTTGGCCCTCAACTGGGAATGGCCACTTCCCTCCCATGTGCAAAGTAACACAGTGGAGAAGTTGTGCGGAACTTTCCAGAAGTGTCCCCAAACCCGTGCCATGACACTCCATGGGGGGGAGGGGCTGCTTCTAGTTGAGCAAGAACAAGGGCACTGGATTGCCAAAGTTTGCCTCTTTTGGTGGGGAGAGGTTTGGAGGGAGGGTTTCTCTGTATAGTTTTAGAGCCTGTCCTGGAACTTGCTCTGTAGACCAGGCTGGTCTCAAACTCACAGAGATCCACCTGCCTCTGTCTCCCGAGTGCTGGGATTAAAAGCTATGCCACCACTACCCCACAGTCTGTTTTTATTTATCATGACGTCATCAATGACGCTTCCTGCAGCACACAGAAGGATGCATTATGAAGCAAGAGTGAAAGAGATGTTATTGATCCAAGGTCCACAACGGCTATGAGAAAGAGCCCCAAGGCTCTACCTCCATGTCTTGGAGGCCTGGGCAAGGGTCTGAGGCTAGAGGCAGGGCAGCCTTTATGGGGGTACAACTGCTTTGAAAGACTGGGCCACTCACTATTGACCCTTAATGGAGGCTGCAGATGCTTCCGGGACCACTCTCATATCTTTCAAACAGGATAGCATGCATGACTGGAAGGTGGAGTCCGGCTGATGGATGTAGCCCCAGACCCCCCGTTGTTTTTCTTACCTGCTGAGAGATCTCCAGCCACTTAGTTGCCCTTTCCGGGCATCAGTGCTCTCCGTTGTAAAAGGGAAATAATCACCACTTCGCAGGACTAAAAGGAATGTACATACATCCTCTAATCTAGCTGAATAACAGCTACCTATTTCATAACAATTATGATTTGAAAGCCGCATTTGGGGCTCCCTGCTAGAGAGGCTGGCAGCTTGTACTTGGCGTCTTTAGCCTTGGCTATGCTCACACGTGCCACCAGGCGGCGCACTGCAGCCTCAGCCTCCTCAGCACCGCGGCAGGCTCTTGAAGCATGGCAGAACTGTGGAACTGTATACCCTGCCCACCCTTCTGGGACCCTCCCAGGAGGAATTTCTGTTCCTTGGGGGGATGGGAGTTGGAGATAGGCTTTCACAAGGATCGGTATGCGGGTTCTTGAGTGGGAAGACTTGAAAGCTAAGTTCACACAGCCTCTCCTCATTAATCCTGGGCAGAAGGACCCCTAGACATTTGTAAGCTGCAGAAGAGAGGCGTGATAGAAGTCTTTCAGATGCTAACCACACACGTGATAGGTGCTGTTGGGGCCGCATTCACAGACGAAGACAATGAGACCCAGGTAGTAAGTGACCAAGATCAAATGAGGGCTATGGAGAGTCCCACCCCAACACAGTGGATCTCAAGCGGGAACTCCCCTTTTTAAAAACTGAGATGAGGCCAGGCAGTGGTGGCACACGACTCGGGGGAGGTAAAGGCTGGCAGGTCTCTGAGTTCAAGGGCAGCCTGGTTTACAGAGCAAGTTCCAGGACAACCAAGGCTACACAGAGAACCCCTGTCTTGAAGAAAGAAAAAAAAATGAGATTAGGGGGCCAAAGAGATGATGACTAAGCCAGCAAAGTGCTTGCTACAAAGCCAGGAAGGCCCGAGTCCAGATCCAGAACACCCAGACCTCAGTGAGTCCTGTAATCCCTGGGCCGAGAACAAGGGTGCTGTGGGGGATTCCTGGGACTCGCTGTCCAGACAGTCTGTGTAATAGATGATCTCCAGGTACAGGGAGAGTCCTTCTCTCCAAACATAAGGTGGCGAGTCATTAAAGAAGACACTAAATATTGAGCTCTGGCCCCCACATGCATGCACATACATGTGTATACACAGGAACACATATCCCACGTACCACACATACACACACACATATGCCTGCGCGCACACGCACACACACAGAGCTGGTGAAATGGCTCCTTGGGTAAATTAACTGGCAGCTATACCTGATGACCTGAGTTAACTCCCAGGATCCCACAGGGTGGGAATAGAAAACTGACTCCCAAAGTTGCCCTTAGCCACAGTGCTGTCTCTAATTTTCTTTTATTTTGAGACTGGCCCTCTTGTAGCCCAGACTGGCTGTGAATTCCTGATCTTCCTGCCTTTACTGCCTAATTGCTGGGATTGCAGGTCAGTGCCGCCATGCTGGGTTTCAAATTCTTTTATTGCCAATTTATGAAAGTAAATTTAATTTTACTGACGGTTTGATTTGCAGAAAAATTTAAAGTAC